TCATGAAGGCAAGAAAACAGGAAAAAAACAGATTAATCCGAAGAAAAAATTATGTAAAAACTAGCGTTTAACGCACCTTTGGTGGTTCAAAATTTTTCGACAGCTCATGAAAAACCGCATATATTGGAAACAACATCTGCAAGCTTTTAGTGTACTCTGACTGCACCCAATTACAGGGTTGGTAATTTCGAAATTTTGAATTTTTTTAATTCTCATTTTAAAAGCGTCATCTCGAAAACTTAATTGGCCTCAGGGGAAATTTGGAGGCCAGATTTGCAACCACTGAGAGTCTCTGAGAGCACCCTACTATAGGGTTAGGAATCCAAAAATTTGTGAATTTTTTCAACATAAATTTCCCGAAAAAAAAATTGAAAAAAAAACGTCTTATCTCAGAAACTAAAAGGATATGAGCATTCATATTAAGAGGCAAGATTTGAGACGCCTGGGTGTACGCTGACAATAAGGTTGTATCTTCATCAAGTTAGTATTTTTTCAATTTGTAGATAAGTTCTTCCAGAAATTTTGAAAAAATCAAAAACGTCACATCTCGAAAACAAAAAGCATTTGAGCAGTCTCGCTTAGCAGTCGCATGTGGCAAGATTTGCAACTCTTTAGAGTACCCTGACAACACCGAACTATAGCGTGGGAAATTTCAAATTTTGAAGAAAAAAAAATAATTTAAACTTTCTGAAGTTTTCTGAAACTTTTTTGAAAAAATCACAAAAAACGTCACATCTCAAAACTACAAAAAATTGAGCAGTCATACTTGGAGGCAGGATTCGCAATCTTTGAGAGTACTCTGACAGGACCTAACTACAGGGTTGGGAATTTCACGTTTTTAATTTAAACTTACTGAAGTTTTCTGAAACTTTTTTGAAAAAATCACAAGAAACGTCATATCTCGAAAACTACAAAAAATTGAGCAGTCATACTTGGAGGCAAGATTCGCAATCTTTGAGAGTACTCTGACAGGACCTAACTACAGGGTTGGGAATTTCACGTTTTTAATTTAAACTTAATGAAGTTTTCTGAAAATTTTTTGAAAAAATCATAAAAAACGTCATATCTCAAAACTACAGAAAATTGAGCAGTCATACTTGGAGGCAAGATTCGCAATCCTTGAGAGTACTCTGACGGGACCTAACTACAGGGTTGGGAATTTCACGTTTTTAATTTAAACTGACTGAAGTTTTCTGAAACTTTTTTGAAAAAATTACAAAAAACGTCATATCTCGAAAACTGCAAAGAATTGAGCAGTCATACTTGGAGGCAAGATTCGCAATCTTTGAGAGTACTCTGACATGACCTAACTACAGGGTTGGGAATTTCAGATTTTTAATTTAAATCTACTAAATTTTTCAGAAAATTTTTTTGAAAAAATCACAAAAAACGTCATATCTTAAAAACTACAAAAAATTGAGCAGTCATACTTGGAGGCAAGATTCGCAATCTTTGAGAGTACTCTGACAGGACCTAACTACAGGGTTGGGAATTTCACGTTTTTAATTTAAACTTACTGAAGTTTTCTGAAAATTTTTTGAAAAAATCATAAAAAACGTCATATCTCAAAACTACAGAAAATTGAGCAGTCATACTTGGAGGCAAGATTCGCAATCCTTGAGAGTACTCTGACGGGACCTAACTACAGGGTTGGGAATTTCACGTTTTTAATTTAAACTGACTGAAGTTTTCTGAAACTTTTTTGAAAAAATTACAAAAAACGTCATATCTCGAAAACTGCAAAGAATTGAGCAGTCATACTTGGAGGCAAGATTCGCAATCTTTGAGAGTACTCTGACATGACCTAACTACAGGGTTGGGAATTTCAGATTTTTAATTTAAATCTACTAAATTTTTCAGAAAATTTTTTTGAAAAAATCACAAAAAACGTCATATCTTAAAAACTACAAAAAATTGAGCAGTCAAATTTGGAGGCAAGATTCGCAATCTTTGAGAGTACTCTGACAGGACCTAACTACAGGGTTGGGAATTTCACATTTTTAATTTAAACTTACTAAATTTTTCTGAAAATTTTTTTTGAAAAAATCATAAAAAACGTCATATCTCAAAAACTACAAAAAATTGAGCAGTCATACTTGAAGTTAAGACTCGCAATCTTTGAGATTACTCTGACAGGACCCAACTACAAGGTTGGTAATTTCAGATTTTACGAAAAAAAAATTAATATAAGTTTTAGAAAATTTTTTTTGAAAAAATCACAAGAAACGTCATTTCTCAAAAACTACAAGGATTTGAACAGTCATATTTGGAGGCAAGATTTGCAACTCTTTAGAGTACCCTGACAACACCGAACTATAGCGTGGGAAATTTCAAATTTTGAAGAAAAAAAAAATTTAAACTTTCTGAAGTTTTCTGAAACTTTTTTGAAAAAATCACAAAAAACGTCATATCTCGAAAACTGCAAAGAATTGAGCAGTCATACTTGGAGGCAAGATTCGCAATCTTTGAGAGTACTCTGACATGACCTAACTACAGGGTTGGGAATTTCAGATTTTTAATTTAAATTGACTAAATTTTTCAGAAAATTTTTTTGAAAAAATCACAAAAAAACGTCATATCTTAAAAACTACAAAAAATTGAGCAGTCAAATTTGGAGGCAAGATTCGCAATCTTTGAGAGTACTCTGACAGGACCTAACTATAGGGTTGGGAATTTCACATTTTTAATTTAAACTTACTGAAGTTTTCTGAAAATTTTTTGAAAAAATCATAAAAAACGTCATATCTCAAAAACTACAAAAAATTGAGCAGTCATACTTGAAGTTAAGACTCGCAATCTTTGAGATTACTCTGACAGGACCCAACTACATGGTTGGGAATTTCAGATTTTACGAAAAAAAAATTAATATAAGTTTTAGAAAAAATTTTTTGAAAAAATCACAAGAAACGTCATTTCTCAAAAACTACAAGGATTTGAACAGTCATATTTGGAGGCAAGATTTGTAACTCCTTAGAGTACTCTGACAGCACCCAACTACAGGGTTGGGAACTTCAAATTGTAAATTATTTTGTTATTTGAAATTTCTGAAAATTTTTGAAAAAATCGCAAAAATCGTCTTATCTCGTTAACTAAAATGACTCGGGCACTCAAAATTGGAGGCCAAATTCGCAACCCCTAAATCAATATTGGGCTGCTTAATTTAAACTCGGTAAAATAACCACTAAAATCGAATTGGAAAATTAAAAAAAAAATCTTAACCATTGCAATATAGGATATAGCTTAAACATGCAAAAATAATACGTTGAAAAAGCTTAAACATGGCGAGATAGTGAAGCCCGCATTCAAATATATAATAGATTATATAACGAAATTCGCAGACAAAATTATATTGCCTAAGCTCTTTGAATTTCGAAAACAATTTATGATTGACCTTTTTTTTGATAAATCAACTCAATTTGAAAAAAAAACTGGATCAATATAAAAATTTTTCATTCCACAGTAAAATCTGAAAATTGAATTCCACTTTCAAAACTAAGGTCGATCACGTTTTTCAAGAGCTTTGCACTTTTGCTGTTCGATAGTGGAATTCGCCTTCCTTTTAACAAAGGAAATGACTGAACTTACAAAGAAATAAAAAGTCAGACATGAAAAAATAAATTGGGACCTTAACAAATTTCAAATTTTTGAAAAAACCTAAGAATTCATCAGCACCTATAGAAGAATCTGAACTAGGTTCGTCGACTCTTAAAAAAGCAGACAAACATAAGTGCATTCATACACGCTTAAATCTGTATGAAAGCACATCTGTAGTTATTAGAGCCTTAAGACTTTTCCTGAAAAAAAAAAAGTCAGCAAGAACTATAGAAGAATTTTCATTACATTCATCCACTCTTGAAAACAGAGTTGGAAAAGAGTCATGAACGAAAGACATCAGGAAAAAACAGATTCCAAAAATATTATATAACGAATTTTGAAGAAAAAAGTATGTCTTTAATGCTCTTTGAATTCCAGAAACAAATTGATGATTGACACTTTTTTATTTGAAAAAAAAAAACTATCAATATGTAAAATTTTCATTCCACTGGCAGATCTGAAAACAAATTCCACTCTCGAAACTAGAAGTCGATCACGTTTTTCGTGACCTTTACACTTTTACTGTTCGATAGTGGAGTATGCTTCCCTTCTAAAAAAAGGAAATGACGTGAACTTAAAAAGAAATCATAAGTCAAACCGCGAAAAAACGAAACTTTGCGTGAACAAATTTAAAGATTTTTCCGTAAAAAAAAAACAAATAAAAAATCAACAAGACCTATATAAGAGTATTCACTACATATTAAAGTAATTCGCGCCAAATGTGATGACGAGCTGAACTTTCGAAAGGAGACGGACTAAGGTTTTCACGAATCAGTGATTTTAACTTGACAGTATCCATATGGCGATGCAAAAAGAAGAACTGCAAACTTTCCTTAAGAAAAAACAAAAAAATAAATCACTACAGCCTATATAATTAAAAAATAGCCAATATACAAATGGACAGGAGTCAATGAACGCAAGAAAACATAAAAAAAAACTGACTTGTTTTTCGAATATAAAAGAAAGCCATAGAGATAATTGAATTTCTAGAACAATTAATGATTGACCCTTTTTGGATAAAATTAACCCAATTTGAGAAAACGTGATCAATAGGTAAAACTTTTGTTTCGCTGGGAAATCTGATAAACAAATTCTTAAACTAAATTTTTAAACTAGAAGTCGATCAAGTTTGATGTTGAAGTTTGCCTTTCTTTTAACAAAGGAAATGAACTGAATTTGAAAAGAAATCATATATCAAACCGCGAAAGAGTAAATTTGATCCTGAACAAATTTTAAGACTTGTCCTTTAGAAAACAAAACGAAAAAATAATCATCGCAACATATATAGGAGTCTGAAATACGTTCATCGACTCTTAATAAAAACTACTTAGAGACTATTTTGAATTATTGAATCGGATTTCTACGAACAACCAGGTTCTCAAAAATTTTCATTAATTCTAACATACCTCAATGGTTCCCGGAGTTGAAATTCCGTCCGCAGTCTCCGTATCCGACACATCAGCCACAAACAACTTCATCTGCTCACCCCTCCCTCCATTCGCATTGTAGGGTGGGGGCACCATGTGGGAGTCCACGTGATCCACAGTTGAGGCAGTGTTGTTGGTGGGGTCAAAATCAGCCTCTGAACTAACTGAGGGATCCATGTTGTTGGACGTTCCTTTGTTTAGAAATGCGTTCCAGATTTGAACGGTGGATTCAATGGTTTCCTGAAGCAAATTAAACTTGAAGCTGGAATAAATTTTATGCGCAACTTCTTATCGTCGATCAATCCTCCATTGGAGCCTTAAAATTCACACCTTTTCTAAAAATCAGCGATTTCTTTCACATGTGAGAAATGTACCTTCCGTCGTTTCCGTTGTATTGAAGCTACCAGCTCTTATTTCAGCAAGTATTTTATTTAAAATCTCGAATCAGGCCTTCAAGTACCTATTCGAGCGGTTAAATTTAGAAAGACACCAAACTACTTTCCATGTTAAACTAAAATAGACCACAACAACTTAGTCATACATACCATTTGAGTTGGCTTGTAGAGCAGAATGACACAGTCGCTACTAGTTAGAGCATCTTTCTCTTTGGCTCCTCCGTGCAGTACATTCTGGTCCAGCATTGAGACCTAAAACCAAAAAAGAATTATCAAAATAAAATTTTATTTCGATTGCAATGGGGTCATTTCCATTTTTCGCGCCATTTCCACGTTCGTATTTGGAGAGTTCTATTTACGTCACTTTCAGCAGATACTTCAAGTGAACTCAAAAAGTGCATATATATCTAAGTGCATTCATAAATGCATTAATATGTAAGAATGCACATCTGTAGTTATTAGAGACTTTTAAGACTTTTTCCTCAAAAAAAATCACCAAGACCTGAGTACTCAACTACGTTCATTACTCTTAAACAATGCAAACTAAAACTACTTTTTTTGCCCAATTACAATTTTGGCTCCCAGATATCAATTGGGTAACTTTTACTAGAAGGACTAACAAAATGAAGTTTGACGGTCCTGTTGAAATGCTCCAACGTCACTGACATCTGAAACGAAACTACCAGGTTGTAATTTATGCAAACTATTTAAAAAATACAAAAAAACTAAACTTGATTAATATTTATTTGTGGATATACACATGTTTTTCGAATAGCTAAATCTTTTGTTCTTGCATTTCAATAAAAAGTTGAGGTTGAATTCAAAATCACATAGGCCAATCTTTTTCAATGCAGCTTTTTCAGTTTTACCCGATAGAGAATTTTTCCGATGTGGAAGCAATTTCTAACTTTCATTCTTATGCACACGAATATTGAATTACATACCTTCATGGATCCATCATCATTTTGAGACTCCTTAACACTTGATTCATTTGAAGCCTGAAACAATAGAAGAAAAATAGAAGAAAAATGCCTATCACACAATTTCATATATGAAACCTGAAAAAATGCTTATCATGCAATTACCATAGAAGAAATATCGTACAGAGGCTGAGCTGAGCTTCGCGCCACTTGCGATACAAAAATGAATGACCTTGATTAAAATCAAAAGAAAAGAAAAACTTTGTGAAACCTCATCAATTAGCCGAAAATTTTCAGCTTGCAAGAAAAATAAGTCCCAATTGAAATCGAACTCTCGGTCTCTGACGTCAAGCACGTGTAAAACAGCAACTTAGAAAACAGCTGAACCTTCAAAAAAATCGGGCTGCAGGCACTATGCCGACGAAAATAAACAGACGGACGATTAAAGTTCGGAAAAAAATTGGCGCCGGTCGGATTCGAACCACAACCCTTTGCTGTCTCAAGCAAGTGTGTTACTTTTATGTCAGATGGTTGATTGAATTTGAATTCATTACCAGCAGACAGAAGAAAGCTACTAAGTCCAAAACAATTATAAAAACCTTAAAACAACTTTGCAAAAAAAACACTTCCAGAAACACAATCGACAGTGATTAATAAAAATTCCACAAAAAAAAACATAAGAAGCGGCAACTGAAACGACAAAATTGAACAATTTCCCGTAGAGCCGCCGAAAATATAATTGTTGTCATGAAAAACTTTGAACTATGAATTCTATTCTCAAATTTTTAGCATTTTGTTCGATCCGAAAAGAAGCACAAAACTTATGCTTCCCTTGAACCGATCCTAAATTAGGCCTCTAAGCCGATAAAATATAAGCCGAAATCATTTAAGTCAGCAAAAAAACAGCAAAATATACCAAGTCAAAAGAAAAATTACAACAGAAGTAATTCAAAACACTAAAAGCAACTGCACTGAAATTGCGTTAAAAAATCAATTCTACTATGTGCCAACTAAGCGGACAAAACCTAAGCAGACAAACAAAAGGCCTGCAATTTATGGGAAGGCATATTTCCAGTTTGAAAAAAGAAGTTCTTGGTCAGATTCGCGCCCACAAATTTTGCCGTCCCAGGCGCATTCTTCACTTCTAAGCTAAGTGCTGACGACACATTAAAACATTTGAATTCATTGTGAACAAAGATAAAGTGATTTTGTTAAACAAAATGTTAACCCGAAAAAAAGACTATGTTCCGATTTGATAACGATTGCTAATCGCGTTTTTCAATCATTTTATATTTGAAAAGTTATCTTAAATTGGTTTCAAACTCACATAAAACAAAGTTGAGGCAGTTTTTGATACACGAGAGCAAATTTGGCATGAACAAATTGCTATAAATGCTTGTCAAACAAATTTCGCACAAAGGCGAAATGGAGCTTTGCACCACTTGCAATACAATATAGGCATTTCAGCATTTTGTGCGACCAGGAATGAAGCATAAAACTTATGCTTCCCTTGAAATGACATCATACTAGGTAACTAAGCCGAAATCAATTAAGCTGAATATAAATTTTCAGCGAAAAAGCAAAATTTTCGATGTCAAGGATTGTAATTTCAAACACAAGGACGAAGCTGCGCTTCGCAAACACTAGTGAGAACACGACAAACAGCAGCTCTATGAAGTGCATGAAGAGAAAGTAGCAATAAGCCTCGAATTAAAAAAAAAAACTCGGATACGTCTCGGATTCGAACCTACGACCTACTGCGACAGAGATTATGAATCCCCCACACTAACAACTCAGCCACGGACACTTAATTGATGACAAATACTAGCCTCAAATAAAGCAGCGAACAGTTGCTATGCAATTTTCAATGCTACAGCGAAACTTCCATTTAAGTGAACACTTTCAAGGAACACTAAAAGCAACTAAATTGACAATTGTGCATAAAAAATCAATTTTACGATGTGGCAACTGAGCCGACAAAACATAAGCAGACAACTATAGGTCGACACTTTTGGAAAAGAAAATTTTCAGTTTAATTCGAACATTGACGTCCCAGGCGTATTCTTCACCTCCGTGCTAAGTACCGGACACGCATTGAAGTATGAATTAGTTATGAACAAAGATACAAGTGATTCAAATGATTCTGTTAAACAAGTTGTTATCCCAAAAAACATCTGTTTCGATTTGATAACGCTTGCTATTCGCAAACGTCAAAAAATCGAGGTAATTTTTTGTTGCTATTTTATTCCAAACTCGATCTAATAAACATTATACCAAAAAAATGCTTGGAAAAATTGATATTTCGTGTCTTTAACGAAGTCCAGACTGAATTTTTTTATACAAAACCAAATTATAAGCAAGTATTTTTTGTATAAAGACAAATAGTATTGCGTAAAGTATTTGACTCAAGATTGGTAGCATGAACAGGCACGTGGTCTTAAAAAAGAAAACCCAATAATTTTTGATTTTATCTGCTAAAGAACACAAGTTTTAATGCTTTTTTAATACCACTTGCAAGTTAAAATTCCCACGCTTGAGCAATTAATTTAAAGTTTTTTCTGGGCTTCTTTCGGTTTTTATAAAAGAATGGAACAAGCACAAAGTTCTACAAACTATTGAAAATCTGTAAAATGTCCGTAGAACTCACCTGCATGGCCTTTAGGAATCCATTAATGGCTTCAATGTCACTGCCCACCATACATACTGTGGCTTCTAAGTCCATCGGCAACTCATCAGTGGCTACTCCCTCGCCCCCGTGGGAGATCTTCTTCTGGGCTGGAGGAGTGGCGCCTGTCTTACTTGGTTCAAGCACGTCATCTTCAACAAACAAATCTAATTATTGTTTATTTCCGTCACAAGTGAAAACTGTTTGTTCATAGTAGTATTTGTCTGGGAAGGCGAATTTGTTTTTGGAATTGCTCTTAAGATGCATTTAGGAACCGTGATTTGAACCTTCGTTAACTTTTTGAATTTTTAGCTGACAGATTTTAGGCATTAATTTATTATAAAAGAAGTAAGTTTCAATAGCAGTCTCACAAATAAGTTTCTATAGCAATCTCATAAGTTGCGGACGGAAAAGGCAAATTCATTCAACCAGCAATGCCTGTTTTCAGGTTTCTCAACAATAATTTCATCAAATTTGGTCGACAAAACCGAATATTGGGATTATTGTCTTCCTAAAAATGCCACAAGCAACTGTGACTGTTTCAAATACAGTTTCAATCAACTAGTTTTTAGTTCTAATATAACAAATTAAAGTTGATGCCACAAACGCGTGATCAGATTAAAAAAAATTTTTGACTGATTAAAACAATCAAATTTGCCTGTTTCATCAATTTTATACATAAACTATAGTTTTCGCCGCATAGTTCGTAGCATTTTCTTCTATACAGCAGTTTTCTATTCGAAAAATAAAAAAAACTTGATAGATTGTACCCAATTGGTGGGCAATTGGTTGTTACCCAGGGTCGGATCTATGTTTTCTCAAGGGCAGAAACTGGTGGGCGGAAATGAATGTATTGAAATAGTACCAAAGATGGGATTCTTTGGGTAATGAAAAATCCCTTTAAGTGGTAATGTACCTTTGTGTGGTTTGCGCAGTCCGTGGAATGGGCCCAGTTCGAATGCCTGATTGAGTAGATCCACATTTACATCCGAGGATAGAGATATGAACCCAACTGCCCTGCCTCCCTTCTCAGCACAGAGCGCATGGTGTTTCTCATCCTAAACAGAACAATACACGAGTATTACTAGGTTCAGATGAGGGCATTCTGAATAGCATTCAAGCTATTCAATGGAGGATAACACGTTTTTCCATGCCATTTAATCAGTATTAATCTACACAACTTGTCTCCTATATACTCGCAAGGTGATATATAAACCAGCCGAAGTATCAACCAGCCGAAAATATGTAAGTGTTATGTAATGGTTGGGCAACAGTTATGTAACTGCTACAAAAATTATGCAAATTGATTTATATGATATTTTCGGCTGGCTTATTTACTCCGCGCACTTTCGTTTGATTTACACTTAAACTGGTTTACTTACTCTCATTCTCAAAGCTGACCAGAGATTAAGTATACAGAAAGTTGAGTGTCTATAAATCAAAAAATGGGAAACTCCTACTACATTTTTATGAAAAAACAAGTGACACACTGCGACTACATTTAGTTTTGAGCCAAAGATGGTTCATTGCAGAAAAAAGTGACCAGCACCACCCTGACCAGCAATGACTTGAACCGAACACTTATAACCGCATAAGTTCATTGCCTCATGGCTTCTCGGTTTCTGCTAGATCGGCTTATTGCAACTCACTTAATGCACTTAATTCAATTTTCGTCGGGTCAATTTTCCAGTTTTTTTTTCGATATAAAATTTGATGTCTGATTTTCCCGTTTACTCAATTTCCAATCCCTTCTCAAAATGTAAACCTCCTTAGTTTGCCTTGTCAAAGTCTAAACAAGGAGAGCCGGTTCCTATGATAGAATTTTTGTGGTACTATTTTTGGCAACAAAGCCATCAGAAAGTGTCAATGAACTCAAGAAAACCGAGAAAAAAAACTACTGTTTTCTTTGAACAATTCTCTAAGGGTGTTTTCCAAACGAGTTTTTTTATAAATCCTCTCTCTCTCACTTCACAAAAGTTTGGGTTATTGAAGCGCCGAATTCTGATGATTTAATTAATCGAGTTGGATGTTTTTCGAAACTACAAATAAAAAACAGGATTTTTCTCAAGGAGTTTCAAGGATCTTGTATGATCTACATTTTTCATTATACAGCTAACCGAATTGTTTTAAAAAACTGGGTCAATAGGTCACCTGCGAGTCGATGAGTTCGGCCACAAAGTAGTCTCCGTATGTCTGCTGCAGTTGATTGTTCTGCTGTGCAAACAGAGGCGTCAAGTCATCATTGTCCTCCATTCTGAAACACACAGGACAACACACGATACATACAATAGGCAATTTTCAAAAGCGACGACCCGTACGGAGTTTTATTTATACTTGTCGCTTCATACTTTATACCTTTTGTATCAAATATGATTGAACAAATTATATGACTTCATGACAAAACGGAAAAAATAATCAGCACCCATAGAAGTGTCTGATCTACTTTCATCAACTCTTAATATTAAAATGCAGGTATCAATGAATGCGCTTTAATTATATTAAACTAAAATAAACCAAAATATAGATAAACTCTTGATGTTCAAACAACAACGCTGAAAAAATTACTTTGAAATAGTCGAAAAACCTATAATTACAAAAAAAAATCATACCTTTCGCTCGGATGAGGTTCATTAATATACTAAACAAGCTTGTGAATGAACGAACGAGCAGCAACTGACGCAAAACAAAACTTTTGCATACCCTCGTTTCAAGCTAAAAAAATCAAAATTTTTACGACCCAACCCTCCTGAAACGGAAAAATCGCACTTGAAACTACGCAACCCAAGTTGGCTAAGCCGATATAACATCAGTTTAAGCCGATATAACATTTTTTTTTAAATCGCACTTGAAACTACGCAACCCAAGTTGGCTAAGCCGATATAACATCAGTTAAACCTGTTTTTAAAAATCAATAAAAGTTTTTAAAATCTGAGTTGATAAATTTACAAACTACAGACAAACTTTCAATTACAGTACAAATTATTTCAATTGAAAATGACCCAAAGCTTCGGAACGAAACTTCTTGAAAAGCGTACCAGATAAAACAAACTGTATTTGGAAAAAATGGGAAAAATCGCTCGACCAAAATTAGGACAAAAACTACCAATCCGAAAATTTTTTTCCAATAAATATATTTTCAAAAAAATTACTACTCAAACGTATAAGAGGTAATTTTACTTGAGCATGTAAGCTTTTGAGCATGTCAGCAGAAATTTTAAGAAAAGGTGTTTATCTTGTATCTTGTAAAACTTGATCTTGTAAAAAATTAAATAACCTAAATTAAAACCATTTAATTGAGTTTAATCAATGAAAAATAACACGTACAACGTTTTCACATGCCAACTCTTTGACCAAAATTATTTTACGGATAGAAAAAGTCTGGTAACCGATTGCAATATCCTTGCTTATCACAAAGGTAATTACTAACTGAAAGTAAACCGACTCGTCACGCAACAAAATGAGGTATTGATGAGGTATTGAAAGTGACTTGTTACAGAGAGGTGAAGCTGCAATTTGCATGCAGTAGCGAGAAAACGGCATAAAGGAAGCTCTATAAAATGATGCAAGAAAGCCCGTAAAAATAAGCCTCAAATTAAAAAAAATTGCTACGCGACGGATTCGAACCAGAGACTTCGAGATTAAGACTCTAACGTCATTCGCACTCGCCCACAGGCAAATAAGGCAGAGAACAGATGCTATGAAATCTCCAATGCTACAGATCGTGATTATAGCAAAAGCGCCGCCAAATGGGCATTTTTATCGTCGAGTTAGGTTTCTAAAAAGTAGGTTCATACTAATACCCTACGCTCGCTAGTTTAAAGACATTTTATCCTCAAGAGATAGGACCAACACACGTGCTGTTCATCTCTTCTAGGAGAACCGCTGTTGTGGCCCTTATACAGATAATATACACTTCACCACCGACCCCCGATATTGTTCTACGAAAAAAATATAAAGATTAAAATTGCTATACTATTCTGAAGTACTAACTGAGCCGGTCTGACGTGCAGCACTGGCGATATGTCGTGTCTGTGTGACACAAAGAATGTACAATTGGCTGTTGAGGATGCTTTGGTTGTCTTTTTTACTGGTCTGAAAATATCTGAGATGGCTGGGTCTGGGTGGCTGCTGTTTGGCACTGAGAGAACTATCTGGGCGCAGTCTGGCACCGAGGCAAACACTGCCCTGAAACAGACAAACAATTTTCAATCACAAAGTGAATTTGAGTTTTAATACAAAATGAGTCATAAATTACAAAAAAAAGATGACTTGAGTAAAAACCTGACTGGAAACTCGATTAAGAGCAATCCAGCAAGACTAATATGTATTAAAACTTCATTGGTGTTCAAGTCATGATGTAATGAAATTTAGCTTGGTGAGCAAACGAACAATTGTAAACGGATTTGTTCTTCATACTGCACTTAAATGTGGGGTGTAGAAAGGTACCTTTGACCAAAAAAATAAAAACAATAAACTTAAATTATACTGAAATCGTATTTGGTAAACTAACAACCAAGACAAAAAAAATCGACTTTTCTGAAGGCCATAACTTTTGTGTTAGTGAAATTGAACTTGAGCGCTTACACAGGCGAGCTTCACTCAACCCTTTGTTTCTTCGTTGTATCTAAAATTTCAGCTTTGAGATGGTAGTTTTTAAGACAATTAGTAGAAAAACTGCGAAGAACTAATTTTTGACTTTTGAAAAGCTGCAAAAAAAATTGACTTTTGCGAGGGTCATAAGTATTTGTGAAAAAAATTGGGCGTAACCACTTATGAAGTGGAGCTTCCCACAACCCGTTCTTCAAACTGAAACCAATAATTGAGATTCGTTTCAGTTGTACGCCATGTTTTCTTTCGGCCACTTTTTGAACAAAAAATTACTTTCTCTGAGTGCCTCAAATCGCACATTTTTGAGATCAGTCGGCTTTCTTAAAGTGCTTTAACTCGATATCTTCCATTGCTCTATCCAGTTAACTAGCGATAGAAAAAAAAATCAAATAATCTATTTTCCGCTGGGTAATCTGAAGTTTCGAAAACAGAAGTCGATCACGTTTTTGGTGACCTTTAAACCTTTACTGTTCGATTGTGGAGTTTAACTTCATTTTAACAAAAGAAAAGGACTGAACTTGAAAATTTGAGCGTAAACAGCGAAAATCAAATTTGAGCGTAAACAAAATTCCTGAAAACAAAAACATCAAAAAAATCATCACGAACTATACTACTACTTCTACTACTACTACTAAAAGACTTAAATTCCCTTGAAGTAATTACAAGGCATTAAACAAATTTTAAAAAATATTTATAATCTACAGTTTGAACAAATGCATTTAAGATACCATGTGCAGGAGTTTTCAAATGCAAAAAGTTTTATTCTTTCAGTTAGATATATCCTGATTTGACTCTTGAACACAGTCGGAGGCGAAAATAGACTGATGTCGGTCTTCTTCGTAATGTAATTGCTGGAACGTGTTATTCGTTGAAAGAAAGAAGCATCGGTAATACATTTGAAGCTTCGATGATTGCATAAAAAGAAGGGTCGTAGCTCGGGTTTTCCAGATACTCGCTTGTAGTCCAAACTCAGAAACCGAAACGGGTCCAGGTCATAGTCGCGGTGAAGAAGCTTGTTGAAAAAACACAGGTCATAGAATATAATATAGTAGGATATTGGTAGGCATCGGGTCGTCTTTAAATTCATTAAGTGGTCTTGACGGCGCGTTACCCATCTCAATGCCCTTTTGTGAAAAGTCTCCGTTTTGCGTAAGCAACACAGAGATGGCGACCAAACTTGGCTAGCATATAACAAACTAGGTAACACGCATAACTTATAGAACTTTGCACGGACAGCAATAGGGCATAAAAAGGGAATGTTCTTCATCATGAAATGAGGAGTTCGATTAGCCTTGGTAAGCTTAACATTTATGTGATCGTTCCATGATAGATTCGATGATATTAGAAGTCCAAGATCCTTCACCGTGTTTTTGCTAGGTATTGGCGAGCCCGAAGATTCCCGCAACCATTAGAAACAGCGAGAAGCTGCGTCTTGTCTGGATTAAGCATTAGGCCATTTCGTAAAGACCATGCAACAAGCTCGTCAATATCGGTTTGAAGATCTTGCATTGACGATGAAGATGTAAGCTTGCAGTCATCAGCAAATAAGAAGCAAATGGAAGAGGCAGTGGCATCTGGAAGGTCATCGATGAAAATTAGAAACAGGAGGGGGCCCAACACACTGCCTGGATCCAGACGACGCCGCCTTCCAGTGGTGGATCCGACATCTTGGGCCCCACCAAGATGCAAATGGCGTCAAGCCCCCCCCCTCCCATTGGGTCGGGAGAAGCTCAGAAGTCTCCGGGTTTTCGGTTACGGAGCGTCTGAAGCCGGCCAGGCTGCTCCGTCTGCTCATCCTTATACTACTACTCCGCTCCGGCATTAATTCCAAACCCTGGTCCAGGGCCTTACTTTTGCTCCCCTTGCTCTTTCCGCATCAAACGCACCCAGCCCAGCGTCTGGTGCCACATCTGTGGTTACATTCACCTTAAATGTAGTGGTCTTACCCACCTTAACCAACACCACCCTGACTACTATTGCCCTACCTGTACCTTTACCTACATTTTACCTCCCCCAGGCACCAGGTCCTCTAACTTGACCACCCCCAACTCCCAAACTTGTTCAACTTCCCTAACCGCCCCCCAACCCCACCTCCCTAACCCCCCTCCCCCTCCCACCCTTCCCACCTCCTCGAATAATAATTCCTCCTCCCAAAATCGCGCAAATCGTAATCGTGTAAATAGTGTAAATAACTCAAGTTCAAACAACCATTTTAATCATACTGCTGTTAATAATGTAAATAGTCCACCACACCCCGCCAAAGGCCTTTTAAAAATCCTTCAATTTAATTGCAACGGTATCTCCGGAAAAGCACCCGAAATTGCTGCTTTCTTATCTCAATCAAATTCATATTGCTGTCTTCCAAGAAACTAAATTAAGAAAGAAATCTCGAAACCCCTCACTTGGCTCACACTACACTTTAATTAGAAAAGATCGAGAAAAAGAAGGGGCGGTCTTCTCATAGCCATACATGAGTCGATACAATACGAAGAAATAAATATTAACAACGATGGAACACTAGAGGCTATGGGCATATCAGTGGTAGCCAGTTCATCCAAGCTTCGTATTTATAATTTCTACATCCCCCCTCGCTCGAGCTGTCCCCCTGGTTACTCTGCGTCCCTTGCCGAACTACTTGAACCTGGGGACGCCTTAGTACTCGGGGATGCCAACGCACATTCACAACTATGGAACTCCAACATCGAGGAAGATCAACGCGGCTCTGTACTTAGCAATGAAATAACCGAATCCACCTTTGCACCATTAAATGATGACACACAAACCAGAGTCCCTTTTAACTCAGAAAACCAACTCTCATCACCAGATATTTCCCTCGCATCCCAATCGCTCTTACTCTCCACATCATGGACCCCAATTAAATCTCTAGGATCAGATCACCTACCCATTCTTCTAGAACTACCCTTGGATGATTTTATAAATTTTTCACCTAAAAGGACTTTTAAAAATTTTTTAAAAGCAGATTGGATCAAATTCACAGAGGAAATTGAGGAGGGTTTCTTTTCAGCGGTTCCACCTTCCGGAGTTGCCGCCGGAGAGAAATTCTTGAGGGACCTGGTGCTCAGGGCAGCACGCCACCACATCCCCGCTGGCCGTATTCGCCACTTCACTCCCTCTCTTTCCCCCGAGTCCACTGCCCTTGCCGCCGAAAGAGATTTAAGCCGACAACAAAATCTCCCCCCAGAAGTCATATCCCAACTGAACTGTAGACTCATGAAACAGACAGCAAAGGACAAAGAAAATAAATGGCGAGAATTCCTCCGGACTTGCGACTACCGCACTGCAGCCAGAAAGTTCTGGAAAGTGGTACGCTCCTTAAATGGATCTAAGCCCGTGGCAGGAAGACACCCCATTACTTTTGGTTCTAAACCCATACACTCACCTCGTGATATTACCAGCTCTTTTAACAATCAATTCACCAATGCCAGACCCCACGCCTCTGACAAACTCCTTCGTATAACGAGAAGAAAAATGCCAAACTACCGCTGTCAGACAGCCCAATTTTTACCCCTGAAAATACTAAACAAGCCATTGCAGACAGCAAACCATCGCGAGCGCTAGGTCCCGACGGCCTTTGTAATATACATCTTAAACATCTCGGCCCACTTGCTACTCAATACTTAACATACCTTTTTAATATCTCTTTGTCCGAAAACATTATCCCCCAAATTTGGAAAAATTCAAAAATTGCACCGCTTCCAAAGCCCAATAAGGATCTTAAACAATCAACATCTTACAGACCTATATCCTTACTCTGCCCAGCAGTTAAAATTCTGGAGAGGCTCGTTCACCCCATCTTTACCAAACATCTCCCCAACGCCAAACACCAACACGGCTTCCGCCCTTTTCACTCCACCACCACAGCTCTCTCCACTCTCGAATTTTACATTTCAGACGGTTTTAACCAAAATCGCCCCCCTAAACGTACGGTACTGGCCACACTTGACTTATCTAAGGCTTTCGACATGGTGTGTCATCGCTCACTTGTGGAACTCGTTCATGACACTCCCCTCCCAAGAAGTCTAGTCCGCTGGCTAAGTAATTACCTTAATGGTCGACAGGCTGCCACCTCATTCCGTGAACACACATCCCCCCATCGAATAATCCACTGTGGCGTACCCCAAGGTTCTGTTTTATCACTCACACTCTTCAATTTTTATGTCCATGATGCACCGCCACCTCCCGATAATGTAAACCTTGTTTCGTATGCAGACGATTTCCACCCCTTCGCAAGCAGTTCCAATATTGATATCGCCTCAAACTCCATCAATAGCTACCTAAAAAGGCTCTACGATTTTTTCACCTCACGCAAACTAAGTTTCGCGTCCTCTAAAGGATCAGTTACCTTTTTCTCCTCTTATAACAAAGAATTTAATAAAACACCTAGTGTTCTTTTAAATAACGAGGCGCTACCCCTAAACAAAAATCCAACAATCTTAGGGGTGACATTTGATCCAACACTTTGTTTTGCCACTCACTGCAAACAATCCGCTGAAAAGGCCAGACGCAGGATCGGAATCCTGAAGGCATTAGCAGGATCAACCTGGGGTCACTCCAAA